CCGGGTCATGTACCCGAACAAGCGGCTTCGCTCCGCACGCCCGACGAATCTCGAAGAAAGTCGGGCCATCCAAAAGGGTCGAAAAAGAAATCTCTCCTCGAGGTCAGCACTTGGGCGAATTCGACCACCGAATAGAAAGCCGAGCACATGCACGAACAAAAGACTTAGGCAAATTTGCCAACCACATACGGACAAGACTCGAGCCCGTAACTTAGGCCAAATTTTGCTCGAAAACGTAAAACACAAGCACGGGCAAACAATTAAAAATTGAAACAAACATTCATTCAAAATGCCCGAAAGCAACAAAGCAAATAGATATAAACCGACCAAGAAGGCCGGTGATGTTCAGGAAATACAAAGAACGGGCGCGCAGACCCAAAAAATATGAACGGGCACGCAGGCCCAAAACAAACATCAACAAAGGCGCGTAGGCCCTATCAGAATCTCACAACTCAGCTTCCCCAGAGCTATCACCACCGACAACAGGAGACTCGGGCGGAGGCACGACCTGACCATCAATGATCTGGGACATGTAGCCCACTCCTTCAGTGTTTAGACCAGGATTCAACAGAGAAAGTTGGCTGACCGCGGCTTCAAAGCCATCCGCCATAGCACCGACACAGTCCACCTTGAGGAGTTGAATACGAGCGACCAGTTCCGACCGACTCTACAAAGGAGCCGTCTCCTCCGACTCATCCTCGGTAGGGAGCATGACAGCCTTTAATTACTCGACCTCTCTGGCGAGGCGCCCGTTGTCAATTTCCAGACGTTCCCGGTCCTCACGAAAATGGTCCCTCTCCTCGGCCAGCTTCCCCGAGTTCTCTTTCTCCAGAGCCAGCAACTCTGTCTCCGCCTCCAGCAGCTCGACCTGCTCGCGGAACATCTCCTTGGAGGGCTCCAGGGCAGCCTTCAACTTTCGCGAACTCGTGGCGAGGGTAACTTTCTCCTGTTCCAACTCTTTGATACGATCAGAGTCCTCCCCCTCCTCGGCCAACACAACGACCATCTCGGCCATCTTGACCAGTCCGGCCATATTGGCGGCCAGATGCCTTCTCCGACTTTCCTTGCTCATCCGCCTGATAGTTTCGGCTTCATCAGCACTCACGGACAAGGGAAATCCCTCGAAGAAACCCTCCTCTTTAAAGCAAGGGGGCAACCCGAAGGACCTCACAGCGCTGGAGTCCTCACCGACCTCCGATTGGCTTTCCACCCGATTCCTCTTCCTCGGTATCAGATCGGTGTGTGGCTCGACCCCCTGGACGTCCGGGATCCCTCCTGAAGCAGCTCCCGAGCTAGGTGGCGAGTCCACCCTCGTCGCCTGAGAAGTGCCCGGGCTAGATGGCGGGCCCATCCTCGTCACCTGAGGAGCTCTCACCACCCTCTTATTGACCTTCTTGTCCTGCGACAACTTCAAGAGCCTCTCCCTTCGTCCGACCATCAGACCTGCGTAAAAGAAACCCGGGTTAGTGACGAGTAAATAAGCGAGCAAGTAACAAGTGAAGAAATTCAAACAAGACAAAACAATAACGACCTAGCAGGTTCGCAGCCTGCCCGAAGGACTGGCACTCCACAAGCGCCTTCGTGTCGATCGGCCGGGCCTCGAAGGTCGGATAACCTTCCTCGTCAAGAATATCCTTCCCCTCCCTCGTGGCCCATCTGGCGGGGAAGAAACTGTCGACATATCGACAGAGAGTATCATAAGCCTTCTCGTCTTCGGGGCTCATCTCGCCCGCGGACGTATGGTAGTACCCGGTGCCATGCTCGTAGTGCCTCGAGGTCCAATGCAAGGGAAATTTGGCCACACGCCCTAACACCGGATGTCCCTCATCGTCCAGAAGGGCTTCCCCGTGATCGTCGGTCACGACCATTTCCTCCTCATATACAGACTCTAAACCCGCTGTGGTAACCGGCCTCACAATATACCACTTGTCCTTGAAGCCCCGCACAGAATCCATGTACATCCTGAAAAGTCTCTTCGACTGCTTCAGGGAAACCCAGCTATGCCTACCTCCCCGGGACTAGCGCTGTAAGTGGAAGACTCTGAAGAAAAGGGGTATGGTCTCCCCAATCCTTAGAAACCAACACGTCAGCTCGAACGCCCGGATGAAAGCCAGCGAGTTTGGGTGAAGCTGCGACGGGGCCAGCTCCAGATGGGTGAAAACCCCGACCTGAAAGTCACTAAAGGGGAGCTTTAACCCCAAGTCCTTGAAAGCAATCTCGTACATCGGGAACCCATACTCGGGGAACTCCGAGCAAATTCGGGCAGTAAAAGTCAGCCTACTGACGACAAAGTTCTTTTGAAAACCGGGCTGACTACCGCCCTGTTCGAGGATGGTGAACGCACTTCGACTACGTCGACTATATGCCAAAGCAATCCCCCTGGGCTCGGCGCCCACCCATTCCAGCAAAGGGTCCTCAATGGTATCAACCAAATTTACATTTTCCTCGGCACTTTGGTCTTCCACCTCAGCGCGCCCCGAGGAACACGGTTCGTCGGCCATGGTTACCTACAAAGCACAGGGAACCGGTCAATCGGGGAGCAAATCCGTACGCTTGCCATAGCAGACGGGATGAAGAGCGCGACAAGCCATATCACTCCACGTGCGACTAAAAAAGTTGGCGTCTCGAAACAAAAAGAGAAGTCACCTCCCCGACTCCCAGATACCACGACAAGTCTCCCTACAGATCGCCTAAGTGGGCCAACGTCTCGACCACTCACGAATATGTCGACCTAGATTATGAACGTGGCGAGCGATATCATGCATCTCAAAACTAGAGCCATGAGTTCACCGGGCACCACCAAGAATTAGGCGCCCCGAATCATGAAGATCTCGGGCAACACTGCTAGTTAAATACCTAAACTATGCATTTGCTGGGCGCAAACATGCGTTCGCCGGGCATAAACATGGATCTGTCGAGCTAAACATGAATATACCGGGGCTAATCCCAGGCGTACAGTCTCTAAGCGTCTAAAAACAATGAAAAATCATGCATCACAGAGGAAAAACAAAGGAGACAAGACACTTACTCGGAATCAGGAAGGAAATGTGACGACAGAGAAAGGGAATCAGCGACGGAGATCACGGCGGTCCTATGAGTATCTGGGAAAAACAGCAACAGCAAAAACAGAGGGAAGAGGAGAAGCGCGAAGAGGGAAAACACGTTATGGGGCCCAAGGACCCTATTTATAGTGATGACGTGGAATACCAAACGTCACCCCGGGGAACCACAGACTTCCCTCCTCGACGTACAACCCCCCTAGGCAATGATGACCCTACCTACAATAGGGTGGCGGCACGACTCCCAAGAGATACCTCGTGTGCTCAACAAGCGCAGCCCGCCGAGAATCCCTCGGGGACTCCTCGAAGGGAATTATCTCGCGGACTCAATACGGGGGGAGCTCCTCAAGTTACCACGGGGAACTGCATCCCTTGCCCGGATTCGGGATCCCGCGACGGAGGCGACCTAAGATCAAGTCACGACTCCTACTCCAGGAACCACGACTTGGGGGGCTCCTGTTCTGGACTGGGTCGAGCTGGCCCAAAAGCAATGGTGAAGGCCCAACCCAAACGGTCTTGCAAGGGGTCACGCCGACCAAGAGGCCACATCCGTGCCCGACATTCTCTGCTAGTGTGACGTCCTCGTCTTCATGCTACCCTGCTCGACCCCAGCTCGAGCACTCCTCCTAGGGCAGACTCTGTCCACTACACCATCACGTGGATCCCGAAAAGACCGCGTCCTCGTCCGTCCGTACTTCACGCCGAACATCCAGGAAGGAGATCATGTGCGGGTCTCCACTACACACGTAGAACCTGGCAGTTCCTCCATTGAGCCAAACCTGCCCGGCCCAATGAAGGGACCTTGGCCCAGCGCTGGGGGCTATAAATACCCTCTGTTCCCAGAGGGTCAGGTATTCATCCTTTTACCCATACTCACACTTTTGCCTGCTCGTACTCTCACTTACTTCAACATCGGAGTGCCTTGCAGGTACCCTCCCACCTCGTTCAAAACTTCAGCTCGGAGCCAGTCGTGACAGTCCAAGTCTGATCAGGTTAGATCAGTTAATATATTAGTATTTTCTTCTTAGTTATAGTTTTAACCCATGTTCTCAAATTCCTTTAACTCTTAACTTAAATTGGTTGAGATATCCAAAATTTATAAATTTATATTAAGAATTTTGCAAATTAAATTTTAAAAAACTCAAAAATAGAAAAATTTCATTGATAATTGATTTGAATAAACTATTTAAACTTCATGTAAAAATTTATAAAGAAAATATTTATTTTATAAGATTGAGAAATGAAAATTTCAAAATTATTTTTTAGCACATGTAAGTACTTGCTTGAAATCATCCCTTTATATTTTCATGGGAGTTTTACAGTGTAGTTTAGGATCTTCCTATCAAGTCATTGGTTGGATATTTCTTAATCTACTTACTAAGTTGGTATTGTGCTCCTTAAACATCTTTTGTTGAAGCTTTTGTTTAAGGAGCCTAAAATAAAGCATGATAAATGACAATTATTGTTTTACTCTTGAGCAGTATGATATCTGACATTAATAAAGGACAAAACAATTTGGTCTAGAGTAGAAGGCAAACATAAGTCCAAAACACAGATCCACTTAGGGGAAAAAATAAACAAATTGTAATAATTTAATGTAACATCAACAGAATAAAACAATATTGGAAATGTAGTAAAGATTAGATTTCTGAATCCAATGGCAATGATCCTTGGCAAAAATGGGGTCACCACAAAATAAATCTCTGATTTGCACTATCATGTGACAGTGTCAATTTAACACCAAAATGGTAGGAAGTCTCCACTCTGATCTGAAAGTTAGATTAATCCAATGACCGAGATTTTATCGGAGAGACAATATAGGTAACAACCGAGGATCCGAACTTGTTCCACAATCTAAAGTCATGCCAAAAGTCTCAAGGAAACAAAATTTGGGATTCCACAAGTTTAGGATATCCACTTTTTGTTAGGAGAGAATATACTTCAAAGGTATTGAGCTTGTATTCTTTCTCTGTTCTCTTCCCACCATGTTTTTGCATTTACCTCGCCGAATCTTTCTCGGCTGCAGACATGAGTTCAGAAAGTTTATGACACAATAAGAGAATGTATGACACAAACCAAATATTAAGGAACATGTTTTTTAGGATGGATTAAGGAAAATGTACCTGAATCGGACACGTCTAAGCTCCCGAGTACCATCAGCTAACTGTCGGATTGTAATGTAGACTCCAGGCTCATCTTGTTCTACCCATTCTGACTCCATTTCACTTGCATTGCTAATAGAAGGCTCGTCTCTAGATGAAGTAGTTGCTCTTGATGGTTCCATTGATGACCCTGCTTGAAAGTGGTGGCCTCCGCCTTGATCCATTAGTCCAGACGGTTTGTAGTGACTCCTTGGCGTCCAATCCTTAACCGATGCCATAGGACTTTCTCTTGCTGATGTCAATCTTGAGTAAGTAGAATCTCTTTGCTGTTCAAACAAAAATGTATATATCAATACGAATCTCGAGTAAGTATACATCGCTAGTGTAAAAGATCTTTTAGATAGTTATTACCTCATCGGCCTCGGACCTTGGAGGAGTGTTGAGAGCTTGTCGATTAAATCTTTGGACATTGTAAAGCTCCATGATTCTGTCATAATTTTCTCCCCACCATTTTTGAGCTTGCCATTTATTGAACATCTCTCGGCTTCAAATTCAAATGCTAAGTATTGTCAGTCTTTTGCTCCTACATGATAATTGTTACATTTTCAACAACTAAAACTTCCCATATTTTTTTCTGTAATCTTAGGCCCTAAGGAACCCTTTTCTTTAAAAATTTGATTCCACATTTCGATTAAATCGCCGATCTAATAACCTCAGCACCAAGTATGCAAAGAGCAACTGTGCTAACCATTTAGATTTAATTTATCTTATAACATATGTACTTGTCTAAGTATCGGTTGTTAATACTTAATTGACGATACCTGAAGCGAATTCTCTTGAGATCATTTCCACCATTAGGAAGAGAAACAAAGGTAATATGAACTCCTGGCTCAACCTGTGCCATCCATTCCTTAGGTTCATCCTCATCCTCTAACACAACATCACAGACTGACGCAGAGTCGCGTCCTCTGGGGGTGCGATCTCCGGCATATCTTGCACCAGGGTAGTTGGAAGTAGTGAAATCCCATGCAGGGGTTGAACTTGAGCTTGCACCTCCAATATAAGGGTATGGAACTCCTTCGGAGATTGTGTCGAAGTCGGGATATGGTCTGTGTCCTTTCTTGTTGTAGCTACTTGATCCTCCTGTGCATGGTTTGCATTGCTTGTAAGCACCTGAAAACTTTAAGGCCATATCTTTTATCTGCATACAAAGAAAAAAAAAACACTTGATAACATTAATACATTAAAAGCTATGAAACTCATACAGACACGCACACCAGACACGTCGAATGTGCTAATATAAAAAACACAAGTAACTCACCTTTTATGGTTCATAAAACTTTTATGTGTTCAAGTTGATTTTGAACACCAGCATCTATTATTATAGGTATAATTAAGTTATCAAGTGGGGGGTTAGGGAGAAATTAAAGTAATGTTTGTATATCTTAACAATGTGACAAGAATTTGAAAAATCAAAACACTAGAGTGACATCTTCCTTTTCTTCTATCGAAGTAGATACACATGCTCATACTTTATATTTAATAATATGTAGCATGAACAATGATATATAAAATTTGATGATTAAAAACAGGGTAGATGAAGAACAAGGTGTCTACTTTCTAGAAGAAGCAAATAGAAAACAATTTATTTAAATTCTTGATGATTAAGAAAACACTTCTTTTGTTTATTGCAACTGATCCAAGGAAACTTTTTTCTTAAATAATTATTGATTATTTGAAATTGATGCAATGAGAAAAGTTGATTACAATTGGTGTAAGATATACTTTGTATGATAATTTTACCTAATGTAACAAATCTTAACAAACTTGCAACTAATACTTGACTGCGATAATTCTGATTGGGCCCTAGAAAAGGAAAGCCCATAACTCATACCGCCCAAAGTCTCGTAAAAGGGTCATAAGACAAGTCGGGCGAATCAACGCTAGCCTGTCCACCTCGCTTGGAGTTTGGATCGTCCAACCCGAGTCCATATTAGGTTGCCACCAACTTCCCCTATGATGAAGGGAGTCAGTTAAATGCACAAAAAGGGAGGAAACCGTTCACCCTATAATAGAGAAAGAACCGGTCTCCTCATACATTCACGACTTCGTAAGGAAAGTAGGAGAAACGGTTTCTTCCTCCCCATTATTCGGCCCACGAGGTCTCCTATATATATATTCCTGACCAGGGTTTTGAATTGGCGGTTACTAATCTCATAGATTCGGTCCAAGAAAACCCTCTTGCAATCACCTTAGTGAGCAGTATCACCTCGATTGACTTTTTTGCAAGTACAAATAACTAATTTATAACTTCTTTTTACAAATTCCAACTATATATTTTCAATACTTTTTATATGAATAAAAATTTATGTGATGTCACTAAATCTATCATGATGATTCTATTTTTGGAATATTAGTATACATGAATTGAGTACCACCTAACCATAAAAGAGTGACGTAAAGAATGTTAGAGAATAATTGCTAGCATTTGTCACATGAATATTGAGAATAACAGCATAAGTACAATGTTTGTGAAATAGAGCACAAAGAAAAAAAGATGGAGAAATCATGTCTGAAATTTCTGAACTATGAATTAAAATAAATTTGGAACAAGCTAAATGGAGTCTAAGGTTTCAAGCATAGGTCATTTTCATAGAAATGTCTTTACAGTTGGACAGATGAAGAATGTTTTTGGAAGACCAATTATATACAAGAAACTTACAAAAATCTCACCATCAACTATATTACCATTAGTGGCATGAATTTCTTAATTGAAGAAATTCTATTGATTGGAGTAACTAGTTGTTTCTTGTCCTAAATTTCACTTAATTTAAAGACAGTTTGACTCAAAAGTTTGGTTTGGGTAGATATCTAAAATTGCTTCACACATTTAAGTAGTATTCATTAATTTAAAATACTTATATTCATGGTTTTAAAATGTGCTTGGGTCACAAATGCAGTAGCGGGTGTTGAGATTGCGGTTATTCGATTGCTGCAATGCACACTGCAATCGTTGCAACGTGAATTTTGATTGGAACGTGTTTGAAATAGACCTCTAAAAAATACTTAATGTTACGAAGATTTTTCATTACATTGTAAGTAAATTGAGTTGAGATTATGAAATTTTTAATTTTTATAAAAATAGTTGAAGAAATACAACCGAAACTGTTAGACACGGAATTTTAAATCACACTGTCATTGTGGTTTGATACTGTTGTAGAAGTTACCGCATCAGCAATATTACGGCTGTTGACCACAATTTAAAACTATGTTTATATTCTTACCACATTTTTGAAGATAGAGAATTAATTTTAGTGGCCTAAAAGCAAAAAACATTAAGAAATGTGAATATTAACTTTATGATGTAAAAACAAGTAAGGAGCAACCAAAACTTGTTTAAATTTGTGGCCTTTTTTTAACAGTGGTAATAATACAACACTTTAGAAAAACATTGTATCGACAAGAATTCAAGGATGGGCCACACATAGGATGAGAATATGGCAGACCCTTCTGTATGTTAGGAATCTTTCCTTAACATCAACTCAAATTTACGAATATTGAACATGTTCCCACTATACTACTAAATATGTAACTCATAAAATATTTGACCAAAACATTTTGCTTTTCCTTTTCAATTTTTTTTTATAAAAAAAAGTACAAAGAGACCAAATCAAGAAATTAAGTGATTAATGAATAATTAATCAAAATTATTGGTACTAAGTAAAGTAACCAAAAAAAAAAAACATTATAGTATATTGATTGGTTTGTAACAAAAGATGAGGTCAGCAAAATGGGAAGACATAAACATATCACAATCAAAATGTTGTTAAGATTTGTTTGTTTCACCAAAATGTAAAAAGGAGAGAGAAAAGCAAAAACAGATGGTGAAAGAAGAGAGAGAAGAAAAACAAGAACCTGTGTGGTAATGCTTTTGACAGCTTCTTTAGTACTAGGCGTGCCACTCTCTCGACCATCTTCATCCCTCTCATCTGATGTTTGTTTCGTACAAGCTATGCATGTAAACATCTTTTTCCTCAGTCACTCCTTCCTAAAGATAACACAAGAAAAACAAATAATAAATAATAAATAAACTACATGTGCATGTGTGTTTTATTTTATGTGTGTGAATGAATGAATGACCAATAAAGGGTGAAAATTATAGTTAGTTAAATGTTATAGGTAGGTGAAAACAATCTCACTTTTATTGAAATGAATGAAACAGTGACAATTTGTGCCAACAACATAAAAAAATATAACTAGTTAGTTAGAACAGAACTAAAAATATTCCGACCCTCTCTATAGCAAAAAAAAAAAAAAACCAAAAAAACATAACACTAACACCTCTAAAAAAAATATCTCTATCTGACACTAACATGATTACTTTTATATCAAATTATTTATACTATCAGTATCACTGTGTCAATATTAATGATGTTCGGAGTATCTGTACTTCATAATTAACTATGAAATGCAAAATAATAGTGAATGAAAAGGTAAAACAAAATGATCCTACATTCTATAGAATAAAAATGGGAAAAAGAGAAAGATAAAAAGCAAAATTGAATGTAAACTCGGGATCAGAGCAAGATCGAAAGTGATCTCAAAAGAATGAAACAATGGGCCTATAATTAAAAGCAAAATAAAATGGGGCAAGGAATGACCAAAGTAATATTTGCTTTGCTTTACCACACACAAATTCCAAAAATACAAAAATAAAGTAACCATAACTAAAAATAGATTATAAAAAAAATAAAAGAACCAAAGCATGTCCAAAACAGAAGTTTCCAACGCACTTTTTCTCATTTCATCCAAAATAGAAAAATCATTAAAAAAACAATAATCTTATTTTATATAGAAGAAAAAAACAAACAAATATGTTATTTATTCCTTGATTCTATTTCTCACTTTATCTTTAATTAAAATCACATCATTCACATTCTTCAATGCAATGGACTCAAAATCAAATCAATGAGCTGTAGAGAGAGAGAAAGAGAAAGAGAGAGAATGTGCTTAGTTACTTAAGGTACGAATTTTGGGGATTTGTGTAAAACAAGACTGGTTATGAATCAGTGTTTGTCGGAAGATGAAGAAGAATGAAAGAGAATGAATGCAGCAGTAGTAGAATTCAGAAATAAATAAATAAATATTGTGGCATTGATTAATAATTAATGAGAATTAATTATTTAGCTTTTTTCTGAAAAAGTGAAATTAATTAGTGTCATTAACATTAACTATTCGAAAACGACATAACAAGCCATCCTCAACTGCTTTGTCTCTAATCTCAACAAAAATTTTCTCATTATCTATATTTCATTAAACACACGTTCATTTGTTTCCATGTTTGTCTTCAAATGCATGTGTGTGCTGTTTTTTCAAATTCAAACCTGTGTTTTGTAAAATCAAAATAAAAATTGGAATTAAAAAATTACCTTATGTGAAGTAAATAATCTTCTTCCTGGTTGAAGTGAAATCGGTTGTTGGAATGGTTGAGGTAAGAGGAAGAGGAAGTGGTGAGTGAGAAAATGAAAGATATTTTGACGAGATGATCGGGTGTGAGGAAAGAGTGTGTAGGAAAATTTGGAGGGTTATAAAGAGGAAGAGAGTGGTGGAATTTGAGGTTGTTGTATTTATATGAGAGAGATTGGTTAACGGTGTGAGGGTAGAACGTTAGTTTTAACGGAAAAATGTTTGTTGTGAGTGGAGAAGGTGTTAAGGGGGGAATGGAATTTGGGTTTTGTCTTTTACTTATTAGAGCGAGCGGAAAGAATGGTCGAGTGTGTAGAAGACAAAAGGGACCCATGTGTAGTGTACGTGTGTTGGGGAGGGATTGGGTGGTTGTGATTTGTTTTGGGGATTGGACGGTCCAGATTTGTGTTGGGGAGTACTATCTTGTTGTGTGTCATCATTTGTTAAATGTTGCATAATCATAATTGACAACTTTTGCATCCAAATAATACTACTACTCTAGCATAATAGTACTAAGTAAAAATGATCATGATCATGAAATTTTGAGTTCAAAGTCCCTTGTCATGAAAAAAAGTGGTAGAGACTTGACTAATAATGATTAAAATTCATCTAATTTGAAGACAAATACAAAAACAAATCATTTTAAGTACTAAGGCAGAAAGAGAGATACGAAATTATCTTAAAATATGATAAACAAAGAAATTTCATTAAAAAAAACTTCATACTCTTTGTATAAATGTATATTTGAATTGTTGTATCTTAAATAGAAATTTCAACATTGTATTTTATGATATTCTCTCTAAAATTATAACTCTAATTTGTTATAATAAAGTTAAATGTATAAATTTATATCCATTGGCTTGTTACGTTGTTGAATACACATTCTCAAAAATCAGATTTTCATATTGATTAGTGTTGCTCTCTTAAATATGACAAGTATACATGTATGTTTAAAAGTAACAAGCGATAAAAAATAACGATATCGTATTCATAAGGAGTGAATGATACTTATATTGATTTTATATGAAACTATATTGTAAACTTAAACATGAGCAAGGATAAAAGGAATATATGAGGATCACAAGTTCAATTTTCTTACAAACAGTATTCAAACAGTGTAAGATGAGTGTTGTGAAATAATCAAGAGAGTGTAAGTTGAGTTATGATCCATTAATATTAGTGAAGTAAATATGTGTTTATGACGTGCAGTGTCGTACCAGGAAAGGTCATAAAATGATCTAGGCGTGTATCTCTACAACATCAAAAGCATGTGAATCAAGGTAAGGGAACAAATCTCTAAGTCACACTTATAATCCTAAAACACGTCTATTATATTTTGAAAATCCTTTATAATTGTAGTTCCTTATCTCTAAGTGAACTAATCAAGTATATATCTATATCCTACTCTTTTCAACTACTTTTATTATGAAATCCACTTGTAGTTGGATCTCTCACAACAACAAGCTTTTATCTTTTTCTAAGTTGATCATTCAAAGAATCAAATTTTTATAAGAGTTAACACATAATAAAATTAGGCACTTAACAACATATCATTTAACATAAAAACATCATAATATTAATTTCTCATTGCTCAATAAACAAAAGATTTAGCTCATAATGAGCTGAGTACAAACTACATATACATGGTTCTTAAAAGAAATATTCTTAAATAAATAATGAAAAAGAAATGTAAGTCTAAAAGTAACGTGAAGCCTCCTTGTGGTGGATAATCAGCAAGAGATGACTTCAGTCGCGCTAGAAATCAACAGCAGGTAATGGAAATGGTGAGAAGAAGAAACTCTCTCTTCTTTCTACTAATCCTCGCGTTATTTCTCTTATGTATTTTTCTTTAAGATGATGAACTCCCTTTTCAATCTTTAACAAGGTCTATTTATAAGCCTCCACTAGAGTTCATTTGTATTATCTTGGATCATGTGCCAAAATGAGGAAATCACATCAAACCCAATGCATGATTCAACGTATTTCCTTCATTCTTTATGCTTTGTATGCAAGGAATCAGGTACAAACACAATTGTGGGGGAGAAGGTATCTTGTGATAGTCTGCCACAATAGGGATGCAGGTGGTGATGTCTATTCCTCGTAGAACGCTAGTGAGCGTACTATGTATCCTCTTTTGTTTTCTAGCGCATCTTAATCTTATCCATTTGATATAAATGATTTTTTTCAATGCACAACGAATATTTCATTCAACGCATCTTCCCTTCCATGTTTTCCCTAGGAACCTAGCTAAGTGCTCCATTTCCTTCCTTAGTTGAGTTCAGTTTCTTACTTTAGCTTGCACTCCCAGGTGTTATCCACTATTGTCTTGCCTCCACTCATCAGAAATAACATTGAATCAAGCAACAAACACATCAAAACTACAAAAGGAAGTATCTATTGTGCTCCAAGTAAATTACTAAAAAAACTGATAAAATGAAATAAAGTAGCTACTAAACAGTAAATTAACTAACAATAAAGAAAAAATTAGGATATATAATAACTCATAAAATCTAGGTTATCAATTGGATATATTGTACTTAAACTCAATCATAGTCCGAAATTACTTTCTTCTGATTTGGTTAAGAACACATTGCTAAGCTCACATAAGCTATACATTTTACAATTGTTCTGACAATTGTTACTCTTTTGATTTTCTTAGACGGAAATTTGATGATAAGAAAAAGAAATTTATCTTTGTAGCCCGACATGAAGAAACTAATTTATTTCTGAGTGTTATTATATACCACCAAGCAAGATATAATTGTAAAGTCAAGCATGAAGAATGTAATAAATGAGAAGAAACAAGAGATGGGGGAAATTACAAAAATCATGAAGAATTCAAGTAAGTTCTTAAGTGTAATACGATGGGAGAACTGACTTGGGTGTTTTGCGTTTTATCGCAATTGTTGCAGATAGCAAGAATCGCCACCGACTTTTCGTTTATCCAATAAAGGAAAGGGTAAAAAGAACAGGAAAGACCTTTTGAGACATTTTCTTGAGTTCGGGGGGTAGGTTATGAAAAGGGAAGGTGTTAGCACAATTTTCATCTGTAGTTATCTATGGGCTCTTAGTTGCTAGCTCACTTTGAAAATGCTTTGTTTGAAATGTGTTTGTAATTGTTTTAAAAGTATTTTCGAAAGCACCTTTGTTTAGGAGAACTTTGCAATGATTCTCGTCTCTATAAGAATGTATACAAAGTGTTGACTTTTGAAAATATTTCATTTTTTGAAAGTGTTGGTGTGTTTGAAAGATTTTGTTTTGAAAATGATTGTGAGCAAGCAACTATGAACGTTCTACCTACTCGAAAAGTCTTAGTTATTTTCCTCCTCCTTTATATATTACTATATTATCATTGATTGATAAGAATCCCCATAATTAGATGTGAAGGGACGAGCGTGGGTCGTCGTATAGTCATAGAAGGAAACCTATGAGACGCTTTAGCAATTTGTCGTAAGGGACTAAGATTGTTTTACCGAAGGCAACATCGAAGGGTCATCGAGGGACTACGATCTTTTTTTATCAAGGGTCTTTGCTAAAGCGTCCCATATTCGAGGAACATA